TTTCTATACATACTTGTAATTATTCTCATCAATGTGCATTTTACAACATTAATAAGAATCCTACAATCATCTATTTATAATATGTCATGTTATTGGTTTAATTCGAAATGGAGTTTGAAAATAGAGTGCAAAAATATTAATTATATAAATAATTTTTTAGATTTTATTTTTAACACGCAGAATATCAAGATCGATCCTAATATTAATTGACAATAAACTATTCTATATGCATTAGTTATTATAAATAATGTATAGAAATGGAGGAAAAAACTGAGTTTTAAAACTCATACGAGAGGAGAGATCAGGCTTGAGAACTCTCTGAGCGAAATCTAGTCCTCCTTTAACATTAATGAAAGAATATCTACTTACGAATAAAGAAAATATAAAACGAGTTAATAACTTTAGAATAGTAAAATATTATATTGTCATACTTTGGGAGGCAGTAACAAAAGATGGAAAACAATCATTTCTTGTCTCTGGAGACGAGAAGACACTGTATTTATATTAACTGAACAAAAGCTTATCTTTAATATACTAATGAGTAAAAGGAAAACATAAGTTGTAATGTCTAAATTTAATTTAATGTAAATTAAATTAATTTATAAATGTAATTTTTTTATTTTAATTTAGTGTAAACATGAAGAAAATTTGTTAGATGATGAAATTGGAAATAATTTTGAAAAAAAATGAGTGAAAATTTGGGTTATAGGGATATTTTTGAAAGAAAAATAAAAAATTAGGGGTCAAAATACAATTTAGAGAAGTTGTGCCACGTGGAATACCCAATCAGCAGCTCCAACAAACCAAGACGCGCCGCGTGACAATAGACGCTGACGTGGTACCACACAGGATGTCATACGACCGATCCGTATGCCTGCGATCGAACGGTACAGATTCGCCCCAGCGTGCACGGACGACTCGAATGCGTTCCCTCTCCAAACGCGATCGGACGGTCAGATTTAAATGCGATGGACTGCTCAAATTCGTTTCTTATTTAAACGCGATCGAACAACCCAGATTGAATCGCGATTAACGATCCAGATTCACTCCCTATTTAATCGCGATTAGACGGTCTAAATCAAACGCGATGGACGGTCTATATCAAAAGGAGATGAGTATAAATAACTCCATTCACACCAAATCCTAACCTTAGCCGCCAGACTCCCCTCGCTGGAGAAGAAGATCCAGCTACCGGGAAGGAGGCCGCCGCCACCTGCCGCCGTGTTGGAGCCATTTTCGACTGCTAAAAGAGGTAAAAATTTTCTCGTTTGTTCAGAATTCAATTTTAAACACTTCTATAGCCAAATCGGAGCAAAACGGCGGTGCCACCACGAGGAATTTCACAAAACACCTCTGATAAGACCCTTTCCGATTCCTGTTATACATAATTTTTTCATTATTGTGATCACCATTTCTTTCTCTACAGGTTGACTGGAGCAAAACACCCAACCGCAACGTGAGCGAGAGGAGTCGCCGCACCGAAGAGCCCCGCCTCGATGAGTTTCACTTTTTTGTATTTTTTCGGCTAACTAAGGCCCCTTAATGTATTTTCTCACAGGGATTGATGCAAAATCAGTTGAATTTGACCGAAAACAGCCAAAAAAGGCCGACCCGAGGCGGACCACTGTCGCGAGCGACGGC